AGCAGAGTCTCTCGCCCTCTCTCTCCTTTAACAGTGAAAGCCCTCGCAGGCCTTTGTGGAAGAGCTGCACTCTCAGGGGCGGGGGGACAGAGGTGTGGAGGAAAGAAACGGCAGGAGATGGACAGATCAGAGAGGGAAGGAAAGAGAGAGGAGGAGTTGTGCCATGACTCTCATACACAACCTGAGGTGGAAGCAGTACTCAGGTCCTTTACTGAAGTAAAAGTAGCAGTACCACAGTGTAAAAAGTATTGTACAAGTGAAAGTCCTGCATTCAAAATGTTATTTAAAGTACCAAAGTATGAGCATGAAAATGTTGCTGAAGTAGGCAGAGTACCAGCCGTCATCCTGCAAAATGAATGTCTCTGATGCCGGTGGATCATCATCACTTTAATGCTGCAGCTGGTTGCAGATGCCACCTTTGGCCCTGGGAAGTCACAATGGGCATTTGTCCCAGTGTCTGACATTCTGTGAATGAAAAGATAGTCAGATGATCGAGATAACGATCGGCTGATTTATCAGTGACCCTATTGTCACTGTCTGTATGTGCAACAGTTGGGCTGAGATGAAGACTCAGCCTCTGGGAGTCTGAGCCCATGGTTCTCTGCCTCAGCGGCAGTGTAGGGGGCTCGGCTGTCTGCAGCGTTCTTAGTGGAGAGCCGCTGCTCCTCACATAGAAAGGATTCAGCTGAGGCAGCTCGACCCTGTGGAGGTGTCGGAGGCATGGCCGACTGGGACAAAGCCCCAGGACAGACCTAGGTGATAATGAATGAAAATGTGATGATGTGAAAGGTCTAAGCATGTCTGTGCTTCCTGTCTCTCTGTCTCCGTCAGCACCCATCGCCGCCGGCACCGGTCCAAACTTCTCCTTGGCTGACCTGGACAGCTCCTCCTACTACAGTATGAGTCCAGGAGCCATGAGGAGGCCGCTCCCCAGCACGTCCTCCTCCAGGTACACACTCTGTGACACCAGCAAGAGTCTGCATGTTCACGTTTTTATGAGCAGATCTAAAACAACATATGAGCGTGAACTACACTTCATCACACACTCAGTGGTCAGTTTATTAGGAACCCGTCTCCGGCTGAGTCTGTCTAACCCAGCAGTCCTGCACTAAATCCTCCTCCATGAAGGTGATGATGTTAGGTTTGTGTTCAGACTGTTGTCCACCTCGTCTCTGTTACCCGGTGCTGCTCTCTGTGTAACACAGCATCACAAAACACAGCCTCCAAATCATCGTAGGGTTGAATCAACACCTCTGTGAATCCATTTCATCTGTATCAGACCGCATGAGGGTTAGTAGGTGTACCTAATAAACCGAAACATAGCACAAACACAACCAACAGTGTACGACATCCTCACACTGGTGTGTTGCAGAGCTGTGTGTCCTCAGCAGGACAGCCTTGTGTTTATGCTTCACAAAGCAGACACACACACACACACACACACACACACACACACACACACACACACACACACACACACACAGGCTTGCAGGATTTGCCCTGACCTCTTCTGTTAAATCGATGCAGTCACAGGAGTCATCTGTCTGTCTGCTGAGACACCTGCCCTGCAGCGTACACACACACACACAAGGTGTGCCTGTATTGTTGGAGGGACCTTCAGTGACATTATGCATGCCCTAGCTCTGTACACTAACCTGACCCTAAACCCAAGTGTGAAGATTTGTCCACAGATGTGAAGCAGTTATAAAAAAACTGTGGTCATACAACTAAATATTAGTTTAGTGATTCACAGGATTGCTAAATCCTAGAAACAAAAACGTTTGTACAAAATAGTTTTGTGTTTGTACAGTCAACGGCAGACACTGCTATTTTTTTGAACACACCCCTTTCAACTAATTGCCCAATTGCACAGCCTTAAGAGCGTGCATATCATGAATGCTGGGTCTTGTTTGCTTTCTGAGAATCTACTGCACCTACTGGTAACTTGTTTGCCATGTAGCAATAAAAAATATACTAAAAATCTGGATTATTCTGGTTAGTCACATTGTACTGCTATTATTTTGAACAATACTGTATCTGATAAGACAGACACCAAGCTGCCAAACCAACTGGTCCATAAGTTTATGTTGCTTTTTTTATTAGAGCAGAACTATTTGACCTTATTCCTTCATTGGCATTGTCTTGACATTGATGTTAGCATGTGTAGGTCTAAAATGCCAAACCACACAGATCGTGTCTCCTGGCAAAGCGAGCACAGCTGTTTTCCACAAAGTAAAACTCACCTGTCCTTTGTTCTGAGACTTCCTGTGTTTGTTTGTCTGTGCGGTGAACCTTTCTCCTTTAGGTCACCTGTTCCTCCGCCTGTCCATTCTCTTCTTCTCCATCTTCATCCTGTGTGTGACATAAGTTTGCTTTGTTTTATCACAGAATGATCCATAATTTGGCCTGGCCCACTTGTTTGATGACAGCTTAAACTGCTGCACTACATAAAATAACGACGACGTGCTGCCCCCAGGAGGAGGGAGGCTAATCTCATCTAATTAATGGCGCTACAAAGACCTACATACATGTGAAATGGAGACCGTAATGGGCTGCACACAGGGGCTCTGTGCATGTGGTCCAGGGGCTGCACAGTGACACTGGCCCCTCGCTTTAGCCTGATTCTGACCTGAACCCTAATTCCAGCCCTTTGCACTGCAGGTGTGAGGACCGGACAATGTGTCCTCACAGCGATGGAGTTGGAGGAACATTTGTCCACACAGCCTTAGGAAGACATGTACACACTCAGACATGCACATAGCTAAACATTTTAACATCCTGTTAAACAAACACAGCTGGTCAGTGAGGGGCCTGGGGCACGCCACAGCCTGTGTGTGTGTGAACACATGTGTGTGCTAATGAGCAGTCATGTAGCTGCTGTAACCCCACTCTCAGTATTACATGACACATAAATGCCTGAGGTGACTGAGGCATGCAGCAGCTCTGGTTAGAGGACGCTGTAAGGCCAGACTTTATTAAAATGCTATTAGCATCATTTAATATGATGAAGACCTCAGAGTCACAGAGTCACACAGCCGCCGCTGCTCGCTGGGTTTAAACACCTTCGCACCTTCAGGCTGCAGCTGCAGAACAGGGATCTTGCACTAAACCCGGAACTCAGAAGTGTGTAGACTGCTCAGTGGTATAAGTATTCAGATACTTATGTAAAAGTAGCAGTGCTACTGTGTAAAAAAGTGCTCAATCAGAACTTTACCTAAGTATATAAGTATCAGCATCCAGATCTACTTGAAGTACCAACAGTACCAGTACTCATCCTGCAGAACGGCCCGTGTCCCAGTAATGTCTCTGATACTGGATCATAGTGACTGATGCATTACTGTGTCCATCACTTTAATGCTGCAGCTGGTAAAGGTGGAGCTGATGGTAACTACCTTATATACTTATACTGTGAAGTACTTTACATCCTGCTGGGTAGCTGGTGGATTTCCCACCGGGATCAATAGAGTCTGATGGTTCTACTGGGTTTGGTTTGATTCATCTGATTCTGGAAAGGAAGTGAAGTTATCAGGTACATGTAGTGCAGTAAAAAGTACACGGTTTGTCTCTGACATGGAGTCACAGTATGAAGTAGCAGGACATGGAAATTCTCAGGAGAAGAACAGATACCTCTGAGTTGTGCTTCACTACAGGACTTGAGTAACTGTACCTTGTTCCTTGCCCCCACTGCACAGGATGAGGACTACAGACCCTGGGTTGTGTGTGACATCTCACCACTGTTTTAGTGCAGGACAAACATCTGTGTGGATGCAGCCTTTTTCTCAGAGAGGTTAACAGTCTGCTCTCCTCCTCTCTCCTGTGTGTGCGTGTGTGTGTGTGTGTGTGTGCAGCTCTGCCAAGAGGATAAAGTGCATGGAGGAGGACGTGGACAGTCCCGGAGAGGAATCCTACTACCCGGGTCAGGGTCGCTCTCCGGGCAGCGGCAGCCAGGCCAGCAGCTGGCACGACGTGGAGCCAGGTACCATGTCTGCATTGCAGCCACACCCCAAGCCCCCCGGCCTTCTTCTAATAACCCCGCCTTCCTTCCCTCCAACACCAGGCCTAATTAACCCCCTCCCCCTACTCCCCCCCTTCACCATACACACACACTTCATACACATCGCAACTTTAACCGGCCGCTCTGCAGCAGCTTTGGAAACAGAGCGATGCTTTCATGACCCAGTGTGGAATGATGCTTACAGCAGGGAGGGGAGAGAGGAAGACGTGCACACGTGTAAACAGTGTGGGAGTGAGCATGTGTGTGTGTAGAACTGTATACTGAGCTACAACAGAGCTGCTAAAAAGGCAGTACTATGGTAGTTAACGCCTGTGTGTGGAACTGTGTGTGTTTTCCTCTAGTATAAAGAAAATCATCTTCTTTCCGATTGGTTAGAAGATAAAGTCATATAGTGGCCGGAGCAATTTATTTACCTGACCACAGAGAAACCCCAACCTTCAAACCCAGCATTTCTTCTGTGTTCACCCGCACTCACTGCCATATTGTTTGCAGTTCTGCTCACTTTGCTACCAGCAGACTCATCACTTCCTGTGCAGATATTTCACATTAAAAGCCTCCTAGTATCCCTCACTTTTTTTGGAAGGCTTGTGTTGTGAAAAGTCTGCAGGAAGTGTTGGGTTTCATCGAGCACAACTTAACGATCAGTAAAAGTATGAAGCAGTGATGACAAGTCAACCAGAGAACATGTTGTACTGATGCAGTCAATGCTGTGCAAACGGACATCACTTTGGATTTTTACAGGTTATTCTCCCACGCTGTGGCTCTGTTTGCTCATGCTGACAGGCTGTTATTTCAGGCTTGTCCACTATTTGACTACATCCGCTTTTTACTCAAATTTAAAGTACTTAAATATACACACAGAGGACCTGGAGTTTAAGCAGAGGACTGCTGTACACACTGCACAGGGACGGAGAGGAAGATGAGGGTCTGTGGGGCTCAGTGGCTCCTTTTAGACCGGGCAGGTTAATCCATGCTGGCTGTGTCCTGGTCATGCTCAGCTCTCCTGTCCCATAAATATAAACATGATTTACCAGGGCAGCCGCCATGTTGGAGCAGGGAAGTCTCCTGTCGCACATCTGTACATGACGGCAGGAGGAGGAAGAAGAGAGCTCTGAACTTACAACTGATTCTCCAGCTGTTTGGTAGAAATGTACAGAATACAGGTGGCTGTTTATACCAGAACACTTTATCTTCAGCTTCACTGGTGCTGTTCATCAGGGTTTGTGCACACTAACACAAACATACAGTCACTGGCTCTATGCTTTGAGAAAAAGCATATGACTGTAATGAGGCAAGTGTATGGCACTCAAAGAGTAACTTCAGGTTAAATTATTTGTACACCTTCAGCAACAGCTCAAACCTCAAAAGTACTTTTACATTTCACAGTGTGGCATTAATATTTTGACCCCATTAAAGGATCGGAGTATTGTCTGTGTGTTTATATCTACACCCCTGTCCTCACAAATGCGTTGACCCAGGTGTTAGCAGCTAACAGGAGTCCTGGGACCTCCTCCCACACCTCCACACACTGACATGAATACTGCTGAGGTGTTGTTTCCATCTCTCCCTCTCTTCCTGTCAGTCACTGTATTCATGCTGCTTTTTTTTTTTCTTTCCTCTTCTCGTTTCTTTGCTTTCTTTCCTCCGTCTCGCGTTGGAAAGCTGGATATAAGCTACGTGGCTCGCTAGCTAGCTCGTTCATCTCCCGACAAGGTAAAGACTGTGAACACGCCTTTTTATTTTCTGTCTCCATGTCTGTGAAGTCGTCACCTCCTCCACCTCTGCACCACCTTCTCCTGTTGGCTCCATGATACCTGGGTGGTTTGTGCTTTGTTGTCTGGTGTTGTGATGTGTCTGGTTCAGTCTGGTTGATGTTTTTTCACCTCCTGCAGAGCTGCCCTTCATCTCCTTCACCACCTCTCCTTCCAAGCCTCCCTCCCCCTGTCTCTTTTCATCCCTTTACACCTCCTTTTCTCTCCTGCCTGCTCCTCTCTCTTTCCTACGTTCTGTCTTCATGTCTTGTTTCCTTCCCTTTCCTGTTCCACTCTTGTTTCTCTTTTGGACTCTCCTCCCTCATCCTTTTCTTTCCTCTCCTCTGTTGTCTCCTTGTTCCCTTCCTTCTGGTATCTAGTTTTCTCTCCTCCCCCACTTTTTTCAGTTCCTTCTCTTTTTACCTCTGCCATTTTTCTCTTATTTTCTTTGTTGCCTCCATTCCTCTGCTTTCCTCCCTCTGGTTTCTCTTGTCATTTCATATTCTATCTTTTCCTCCTCCATCCTCTCTTGTGTCCTCCACTTATTTCCTTTCCTTCCTCCCCTTGTCTCCTTATGTCCTTTACTCCTTTTCTCCCTTCTACTCTTCTCTCGTCTCTTGTCTCCTCTCCACTCTGCATGGTGTGTGTGTGTGTGTGTGTGTGTGTGTGTGTGTGTGTGTGTGTGTGTGTTAAGGTACAAGTGTGTGTAATGGAAGTAATTCATAATTACATATGTAAACACACACTCTCTCCTGTAACACCTGCTCTCCACGTGCACCCATAAGTGTGTGTGTGTGCGTGCGTGCGTTTGGGGGTGATAACTTGTCAGATAGCAGCAAAGAAAGGAGGAGAAGAGGAGGATTGAAAGACTGAAGGAGGTAGGACAGACGTCAAGGGGGGAGGAAAGAAGAGGAAGAAGCATAGATAGATGTGTAACAGTGTGATGAAGGAGAAAGTGCTGAGCAGGCTCTACTTCGATCTCACCTGACAAAACCTGTTCGACTGTTCATCACTCTCTCGCTCACACACACACACACACACCCTCCCTCCTCCTGTTGCTTCACCTCCATCACCAGGTCTCTCCCTGATACTTCAGGTTGCTCAGAGTCGTCTCCAGATTGCATCCGAGCTCTGCCAGACTTTACATGTCTGCAGACACAATGTCCCTGCAACACAACACACTGAGCAGTTTCCACCGGGGCGACTTTTTACATAGCCACAAGTTTCCAACAGCAGTCGTACGTCACTGTACTAAAGTTCCCAAAGCTGCCGCAAGGTCTTCGTTAACGTCTTTTTTTAAAGTTGCTCCCATAAAAACAATTAGCGCTGTCACCAAACTGTCGGGTTAGAGAATATTTTTTTCTTTTTTAATGATCAATACTCATTTTTTTATTGTGTGTGTGTGTGTAAACATATTTATTAGCTATAAAATGTGTTGTCTTTATTAGGTTTCACATTTCTTATTTGTTTATCTAGTTATTTAACATATAATTATATACTAAAAAATAAAATATTGCATAATTTTCATTTTTTATTTTCTAATTTTATAACATTTTTATATATCATATATTTTATATATCCGTTAAATAGGATAAAAATATTTCTTGAAAAGTTTTTCTGCCATGTTTATTAGAAAATAATATTCTGGCTGTTTTGTAACTAGAAACACTAAATGTGTGAAACACACATTTCCCAGCAGCCCCGAGCCACCGTCTATTGGCCCCTCCCTTCCTGTTGTCCAGACCCCTCCCACACTGAACCCTCCCCCCTCCTCACCCCCTTCTCTCCCCCTTTGGAGGTGCATAAAAATGTAAAAAATAAAAAAAGACACGCTGCCATGACCTCATCTTCATCATGGTTCTTGGCAGGGATGCCGTCGCCCGCCGGCGCTCTGAAGAAGTCAGAGAAGTCTGGTTTCTGCGGCGCCGTGCCTTCACCAAGCGGCGCCTCCACCTCCTCCTCTTCTTCTTCCTCCTCTTCCCCCCGAACGGCTTTCACGCACCATCACCGGCCCGTCATTACCGGGCCCCGAGGTGAGGTCCTCAACCAGTCACCCCCCTCATACACACACACATCCTCACCCCTTCTTCCCCCGTTGGTAACTGTGGGTTTTGTCAGGAGGAGGTGCAGGAGAGCAGCTCATGATGTACCTGAGACACACACCTGTAGGCTGTAGGTGATTGGTGTGTGTGTGTGTGTGTGTGTGTGTGTGTGTGTGTGTGTGTGTGTGTGTGTATGTGTTTGTTAAGAGTACCTCCTCCCTACCCCCTCATGCCCCCACTCCCCTTTATTTGCTTCACTTTTTTTGCCCTCTGATTGACAATCGCTGAAACGGACCTCCTGCCTGCTGCAGTGTGTGTGTGTCTTTGTATGTTTGTGTGCACAAATGGTAGCTTGAATCCATCGCTGTCCGCTCCTCACCTCTTCAAAGGGCTGTTTGAGTTAGTTTTAGGGTTATAGTTAGAACCGGGTTTAGGTCAGGTGTTAGGGTGAGAGTCTAGGTGATGCATTAGTTCAAGGCAGGTTTGAAACAGGGGGCTTGGACTCAGACCAGGACCCAGGTGGACCTGTGAAGACCTGTGATCCCAGCAGTCTGGCTTACGTGCATTTGTCCTCCAGCTGCTGCTGACACTGGTGACGTGTCTTTGTTGCTGAACGTTCTCCAGCAGTGTGTGGGAGGGAATCCTATTCAGGTTGGGACAGATTAGAGGACTGGATCTGATCTGTGAGTTGATGGGAGATTCTGAGCTCCTGCGGGGATTATAGGCACAGTCGCACACTTTGGATGACTTCCTGTTTGTGCAGAATGAAAAACCAAATAGCGCGTGACTGGGGGCAGCTGTGGCTTAGGAGGTAGAGCGGGTCATTTCCTAACCGAAGGATTAGCGGTTCGATGCCCGGCTTGTCCAGTCAACATGTCGAAGTGTCCTTGAGCAAGACACCGAACCCCGAGTTGCTCCCAGTGATAACACCGGTGTGTGAACGTTTGTGAGTAGTGTGAAAGCGCTTTGAGTGTGCTGTAAAGTGTAGAAAAGCACTATACAAGTATAAGACCGTTTACCATTCCTGATCAGTGATGCTGCAATGCAATCGCAGGGTTAGTTTTTGGGTTTCACCTTTTCACCTCATCCTTCTGTCCACCTCCATGTTATCTACTCCTCCTTGTCCTCCTTCTTGTTAAGGTCTTTCCTCCCTGTTTTCCTTTTCTCTTACCCGATGCCTCTCCTCCAGTCAGCTCCTCTCCTTCCTTTCTTTCTGCAACTTTCCTTTTTCTCTCCTCCTCTGTCTCCTTGTTTTGCCTCCCTGCTCCTTCATCCTGTTCTGCCACTGATGGATTTACTCCTCCTCGTGTACCTGCTGACCTCCTTCCCTTACCTCGCTCCACCTCTTCCTAGTCCTTGTTCAGATATTCCCCTCCCCAACCCCCCTCCACCCCTCCTCCCCTCAACATCCTTCCTCCTCCTTATGTCTCTTAAAATCCACTTCCCTCTAGCCGTCTTCTTCCTCCTCTTCCCTCCCCATTGTTGGAAATGGAGCTCTGCCATTTTAATGCTGCTCCTCCTTCTTATCGTTTATCAATCCACCTCTTGATGGCAAATGTCTTCTTCAACTAAAAGTTGGCAGAGGAGAGACAAAGAAAGGAGGAGGAGGGGGGGGGAGGGTGTCTGAGGCAGTGCGGCGAAGCAATTTGCAAAGTGGAACTAATCCTGGCTCTTCCTTCTGTGTTCAACATGCAGCCGCTGCTTTCTCGGTGCCACACACTCAGTGTTGTACCGTTGTTAAAGGAAAACACCAACATTTTATAAAATCCTCTTGTTTACAGAAGATAGACGAGGAGATCGGTTTTGTCTCTGTATGTTCAGTACTAGAGAGATTGCTGCACTTTCAGCTCCACTGCTGGTACTGAGTACTAGTGGAACATCCATCCGTTCAAACTTAACACAGTCTAAAGGCTTGAAATGTTTCAAACACATTATCTGTCAGGTTGTTCCCATTTCTGAGGTCGCTCACACAGAAGTCAAACAGTACAGAGGTTTGCAAAAATTGCACACTTCATTTTTTTCAAAACAGACCCTAAGATGCTCCCAGGCTGGATGAGATACCATATATAATTCCTCCAGTGTACCCTAGGTCTGTGCCAAGGCCTCCTACCAGTGCCTGGATGTGCCTGGAAAAGCTCCAGAGGAAGTTTCCCAGGAGGCATCCTGATCAGATGCCTGAGCCATCTCAACTGGCTGCTTTGATGCAAAGGAACAGCAACAATACTCCTTCTCCCAAACTGCCACACGTGCACAGATGGAACTGAAATGTGAGCCATGTGTGCACAAGAATAACAACCAGGTCATGTGTGCAATGGTCAAATGGCCCAGTTTCCTCCCAGACCGCTGGGTTACGATATGTTCCTTCCAGTTTGGCCTGATCAGAAGCTTCTCCATAAACGTCCACCACATGTGAAACGTCCTGGTCTCTCCACTGACCCCGTCGCTGTCGTCGCTCTCCTCCATGTTTATTATTACAGGTCTGTGAAGGGCTCACGGCGAATGTTAACGACAGGCCGTATGTGCAGAGGAGGAGACGTTAAAACCATCACATGGATTCTGATCTGACCGTTCTGACGGTGCTCATACAGTGAGAGGTCGGAGAGGAATCGGGTCTAGGAGCACATACGCAGCTGGCCCAGATCTGATCTGTTCACACTGCTGTGGACACATCAGGTCTGGGAAACTGCAGCTGAGAATGTAACTAATCAGCACTTTGAAGGTGTGACCAGGCAAAATGTCCTCACAGCGATGGTTTCAAAGTACGGTTTGTCCACACAATCATCGAAGGACATGTATACACACACAAACAAGTGGTTGTGCATGCCTGCACAGTGATATCATTCCTATTATTGTGCACACATTGTGTCCCTTACTGTGTGTGTGTGTGTGTGTGTGTGTGTGTGTGTGTGTTTGTGTGTATTGTGTTGTGAGAGAAAGGGCAGAGAAAGCCATCCATCCAATGATTACTGTAAATACATTGGCTGCAGGGTGTGCGCACACACACACTGTGGGTCAGTGTGTATTGTCAGAGTGATAAATCACAGCAGACTTTAAGTGAATTAGTGCAGCAGCTTTAACTCTCCATCCATCCCTCCATCGCTCTCTCTCTCTTGTTACATTTAAATGTCTCTCTATCCTCTCTCCCTCTGTCACGTCTAAAGTCTCTCTATCAGTCTGCATCCCTCCCTCTCTCTGTCCTCTGTTATATCTCTCTCTTTCTCTTTTCGCTCTCTCTCCTCAGATCTATACATCACTGTCCTTAACGAGGCCTCATCCACTAACGAGCAATCACAGAATATCAGACCAATTAGAAGCTTAATTAGAGAGGAGAGGAGGAAACGAGAGAGGAGAGGGGATAAGGAAATGTGAGAAGAGAGGAAAAAAGTGGAGAAACTACTGACATCCATACGCGCTTGTTTTGATTGACAGCTGGTATGAAGAGGTGCATGATGGCTTGTTTCATCTGCTCTGCCGTATGTGTCCATCATCTGTATTTGCATGTTAAGCCACGCCCCCTTTAATCAACCCTAAATACTCCCCCTCTTCTTTGATTATCTCTCTCTCTCTCACTTTCCCAACGCTTTCTCCTCTTCATAAGTTTCTCTGTATTTCTCTCCCCTACAGCGAGCCCCCATGCTCCCCCCTCCAGCCTCCACTTCTCCTCCTCCCCCATCCTGCAGCAGCCCGGCTCCTACTTCTCCCACCCGGCCATCAGGTATCACCCGCAGGAGACACTCAAGGAGTTTGTCCAGCTGGTCTGTCCTGACTCCGCCCAGCAGGCCGGACAGGTGGGCTTCCTCAACGTAAGCACACGCACACACACACACACACACACACACACAGAAATACACAACAACACCCAGGCAGACGCACACTCAGAAACGCCCAGCGACACAGCTGAGCTGGGTCTCCAAAGCCAGGATCAGTATCTGTTTGCAAGAGCGGAAAACACTGCAGAGCAGGGGGGTGCGCTCCTGTCTGCAGTGAGACAGTTGATATATCTGCGTCTAGACACTGAATCAATACCCCCTCCACTACCTGACCACACACACAGACACAGTGCTTTTTGCAGATGTAGTAAAAACCCAGCATGCAGGTCCAGCTGAAAGAGGAAAGTCCAGGTGTCAGTAACACAGCAGTCAGAGTTACACACTGGAGTGTTCTCCAGCAGCTCAACACTGGCTGTGTTTTCCACTGTTCTACAACAGTAAACTCAGCATCTTTGTGTTTTTTTACAAAACAAGAAATCAGAGTCGCTTGTACTGCTGTCTGACATTTAACAGTCCAAAATGTTAAAATGTTTGTCAGGCTTGGTTGCAACCTCCCAGTTATAAATATGTATGTATATAAATAAAGAAGTACATTATATAAACTAAGACTTACTGTATGTAAATAAAAAACTATACAAGTTGTATGGTATATAAATAAAGGCACTTTTTAATAAGTCGACACTATTTAAATATGTAAATACTATAATTCAAGATGTGCTTTATATAAACAGAGACACTATATAAATAAAAATGTACTCTATAAATAAAGATGTACAGTATATAAATCAAGATGTATTTCATATACATAGACACTGCATATACACTGTACAGTATATAAAGACACTAAATGTAAATAAAGCTGTACAGTAAATAAATCAAGATGTACTAAAAATATGTACTATAAATAAATTAAGACTGTCTATAATTACAAATGTACTGTATATAAATAAAGATGTACTTAATAAATTGTATGTACATGTATAAAGAGTGTGCGGCCCTGCGTATGTGGAGGTAGCAGAGCTGAAGCCAGCTCCTCTGCTCTTATGCTTATAGATTAGCAGATAAAGTGCGAGCGGCAGCAGAATTCTTTATGACCAGTAGGAAACTGCTGACACGCTCCCTCAGTCAGAGGACAGCAGAGCTGCTGCAGGTTTCACCGTGTGACCCACCTGTGGAGGTCTGTCTGCAGCATCGTGTCCACATGTTTGTATTTAATGCTCTGTAACTTCGTCTCAACCCTCTACTCACAAGGAAAGGTCCACAACCCCTTCCTGCCGACGCCCATGCTACCCCCCCCTCCACCTCCCCCGATGGCCCGTCCTGTGCCGCTTCCTGTCGACACCAAGCCGCCCTCCACCTCCTCCGCTGAGGGGGGAAGCAACTCACCCTCCTCACCCAGTGAGTTCACACACATACACACACACGGCAAATGGCATATCACCATTGTTTCTTAACTTTCAGTTTATACCTGCATAAATGGCTGCAGATCTAAAGCAGCACTGGGAGCCTGTGTCCAGGGGGCCTCTGCACCTCACGGGAAACATCACAGTATTTTTATTATTACTTCTAAATTTACTTCAGCACCTAAAGACATGACTCATAACGTGTAAGAAGTGACGGTGTTGTGTTTGGGTTGTGTTTCGCTTCAGGGTTTGCTGATGACTCCTGTCATTTGTTAAAAACAGACACAGTGTGTGCCAAAATATTTAATCCTGCTTACATTCAGCATCAGCACGTGAACATATTTATGTATTTATTTATTGCTTCTGTTTTTAATTGCTTTCTTCCAGAAGACAACAGTGAAGTAAAAATGTACTTCCTTTCTACCAGAAACAACTTGTTGTCATCAGTCTGACCCAGATCGTCTTAATGCCGTCATGGCAGTGAATTAACAGCTTTGCAGCTGTGGCAAGGTGGCTCGTCTTCGTCAGTATGACGGCGCTAGCAGCTATGTGCTAAGCTAAACACAACACATGCTGGGCTTGCTTCCACATGCCAGACTTAAGTTTGCTCTTAGATTCTTTTAACACGCATTTTAGATCCACCAAAGTCAAGTGTTAATGCAGCTGGGGGCTAAAAGGCCTCGCAAGCTTACTGCCTGTGGAAAAATGAATATTTGATTTAAGTGGAAAGGATGTGGGCCTTTGTCAAAAATAGTCCCATGGAGGATTTTTCAATTAAAGAATTTGATTCCTCTTTATATTACTAAGGTTACATACTTCAGTAAGTTCACCTCCAGTGGTTTTGTTTTATATTTTGTCCATCCATCCGTTATCTATACCACTTATCCTAACGAGGGTCGCGGGGGGGCTGGAGCCAATTTCTGGGCAGACACTGGGTAAGAGGCGGGGTCCACTCTGGACAGGTCCCCAGTCTGTCCCAGGGCTGACACGTAGACAAACAACCACTCACACTCACTCCTACGGGCAATTCAGAGTCGTCAGTCAACCTAAGCTTCCTTGGATCTTTTGTGTGTGTGTTTAATTGTTCATCTATAAGTATTTTGTGGCCTCTGCTTTTCTTCAACAGCATTGTGTGGTCATACATGTTCACACATGCACTCTGTTTTTTGTGTGTTGTGCAGCCTACTCCACCCCCACCACGTCTCCGGCCCAGCGGTTCGTCAGTGTCGGACCCAGAGACCCCGGCTTTAACATCCCTCAGCAACCACAGGTAACACACAAACACATCCTCCAGCTCCTCCCAGGGGCTCGTGGGTCGGCATGAGATGTAGACTCCTCCAGTGTGTTCCTGTCTCCTCCCAATTCAGGTGTCTGGCTTGTGTTGCTGCCATCTGACATAGTAAGGCCAAAAGTATGCGGATACTGCTTTTGTATTGGCTCTGCTTCTCCTGTCCGGGCTCCTTCGTTCCACTGAAGCTCATGGTACCTGGTGCTGTTACAGCAGCACAGTAGAGGGGGTAGTTTGATCTGCAGCAGTGCATCATCTTCCACAAGGTATCATGTGTTTAAGTTTTCACTGGACAGGAAGCATCTGAAAGGTTGTAATTTGAAAAGTAACAAGTAACTAAAGCTGTCAGACAAATGTAGTGGAGCAACAGTACAACGCTGGCCTCTGAGATGTAGTCGAGTATAAGCAGTGCATTAAACGGAAAAGCTCAGGAACAGTACAAGTACCTCAGAACTGTCCTTCAGTACAGTACTCGAGTAACTGTACCACTTACTGTTAGCATAGTTTCTTCAGTCATTTCTCCACCAACAGATCCAGGAGCATCAGCATCATTACTAGCACGTTTGTTATTTACTTATGTATTATTCCTGCATTGAGCCCTTAGCAGAACCGTGTTGGAGGTGTCCACATGTGTGATGTTACCAGAGAGCAGAGAGGAAGTGCTTGTGAACAAAGACTTCACTTGAGGTCTGTAATATTTACTACAGAACCGATGGTCAGTGAACGCAACATCCACATCTAACAAAATAGCACGCTGAGTGTGTGTGTGTGTGTGTGTGTGTGTGTGTGTGGGTGTGGGTGTGCAGGTCAGGGTGTGTTTGCCAGCTGATTTATGAAGAGTGTAATGATTGGCCAGCCTTGACTTAACTCATCACACACAGAGTGAGGTGGGAGTCCTCTTTTGACAATGCAGACATATCAGATTGTTGGTTTCTGTGTGCGTGTGGTGACCCACAGTGAACGAAGCTGTCGATTTATCGACTGTGTCACGGGCCAGCACACACACACACACACACACACACACACACTCCTGAAGATGTGAGCCAGGTGTTTGTCACCGCTGCCAGAAGCCGACTGCTGTTATTTATCCTCTTCTGTCTCTGGGACGTGGTTGTGGTCTCTGTCCTCGCTCTGCGGTGGACTGGTGAGGAGCTTTCTCGTGTTCTGCTTCTACAGAAACTATATTATTATTAACATTGTATTTTATTTTATTTTATGTTGGGGGGGTTGTTAACATAAATTCAAATGAAGTTGATTTTTTTGTAAAGGAGACATTTCTGGACAACTGAAAAAGCGTACCCAAGGCACATGTATGAAGGCTGTTTTTTGGGAAGTGAGGACATTCTAGAAAACGGTCTTTCTGGGGAGTGAGGGCGTTTAGAGGACGTGAGAACAGTTTGGAACAGTGAGGATGTTTTATTTGAAACCTTGGACACATTTGAAGACAAAGTGGGGGTGAAATATGTCTATGAGTATAAAGTGGCAGAGTGTGTGTTGGTTAATGTGGGGCATTAGAAAAGCAGTAGACTGACAATGAGAGCTCTGCTGCATTAAGGAGTGTGACACACACACACACACACACACACACACACACACACACACACACACACTCACTCACTCACTCACTCACTCATAAAAGCACCATAATGACACAAACACATAAAGACGGGAACAAAAGTCACCCTGGGCGCTCGACATCAGGCTTCTGGTGGAGAGCGAGAGCAGTGGGGCCATACAGTAAACAGCCCCCCCACCCCCGTGCTGATGGTTTGTGCTTTCACGTGTGCGTGTCTGTTATTGTACTTGCTAAATAGTGAAGACCAGGACCCTCACTACAGAAGAAGGACATTTTGGCCGGTCCTCACTTGCTGAAACACCTTTTAGAGGGTTTAGACTTGGATTTAGGGTTTGGGTTAGAATTAGGTTTGGGTTTAGGCTAGGTGTTAGGCATTTAGTTCTGATGGTTAAGTGTTAGGGTAAGGGGCTCGGGAATGCATTATCTCAATGAGTGTCCTCACAAAGATACAAGT